GTATATATATATATATATATATATATATATATATATATATATAATATGGATGGATGGAGGGATCATAGGAATGATAAAGGCTCAATGAGCTGTCTGTATGTTTAAGTTGTATTGTTGGGTTTGCTAACGAAGATAATTTATTCCTGGTGTTTTATCCATAGAAATCTACATTTTAAAATGCAAAAAAAATAGCCTTAAATATTGACATCTTAAATGTATAATTATTTTATAGAATCATTGGACTTCAATGTGCTGAAAGCTGTTGTTTCAAGCTGGTATGACCGCCACCAAAGTCTTTCTATGTTGAAAGTGTTGTTCAGAGACAAGGTGGACAATCACAAGCTATCACAAGTAAATAAGACGATGAACTTGCTGAATAATTTGATTACATATGATCATCTGAGTTCACGGAATCTTGGACTCCTGTGTGATACTATTAGTGTAACCAAACATTTAGGTCTTTTAAAGGAGATTAAAGAAAAACTACCATCATTCCCTGATGTAAGCGAAGGAAACATTTCAACAAAATTCACACCTCACAGACAAAAGTTAATGAAATTTGGAATGATACTGACCCCATCCGATGTGACGCAGATCGATGAGTTGTATAATACACCTCCTAAGGACTATACAGATGGCTGGGAAATGATCACTGATCTTGAAGACAGACTTATAATCATGGAAGAAAATATGAACAAATTCATTGACTTGTTGAAAATCCTAAATCTCATTCTTGCAGAAGACGCACTAACAACATGAAGGTATTCCTCACTGTTTCAAATAACCATGACATGGGTTTTATTTTATATTATTCTATATTGTAAATAATTTTTATGGCCTATGAATAAAGAATGGCTTGAGAGATCAGATTATTATTAAGCTGCCCACATTCATATACATGTTGACCCTACTTAATCTTCTTTTTTTATTTACAGGTGGATTTGATTTCTAAAAATATATTTTGACTGTACTTTTTAAGATTATAATGAACTGATAAACTGCATTGGCTTGTCATGGTATTGCTCCTTATAGACACACTGTAATTTTTAAGTTTGCAAATTTCAATAATAAAAAAATTAAACAAATCACTAATTTTATTTATTTGATTAATCAGATTGATGTAAAGAGATGAATTGTTTTTCAATCTGTACTTTACAGTGTGTTCTATAACATATTTTTTAATTCGAGGAAATCCGAATTTAGGTGGATGAAATTTGGTGAACACAGTTGAAAAATAAAAGTTTTATATATAAATCTACATCTAAATGTTGATTTCCCTTTTTTAGATTGTTCAATTCTGTTGGTACCGAAAGAAAGATTTTACTCCGAAGTATAATGGAACAAGTTCATGAACTGACATACTGTATCAACAAATACCAACGGGTGAAGTACATAATGTGTAGAAGGTAAGAATTTAAATAATTCATAATTTAATTAAATATATTTAGTTTGGTTAATTTTTAATGGGAGTAAATCGGAAGCGATCTTATATTCAGTAAGATAATTAAAAAACCAGCAAATATTTTGTAAATGATAATAGGGCTAATAATATTCCTAACAATAATAAATAATGATAATAATAGGTAGATTGATATAGCCCAAATAACAGAGGTGTCTAAGCGATCAAAAATAATCTATAAATATACAGAATAGTCTCATGAAGTTTCACTCATTGACATAACATGCAATCTGCTCAATAATATTAATTTAATTTTTTTATTTTCAAAACTTTCATTTGCAGAGGAACAATGGATTGTCAGGTTATGTTGACACGACAATTATTGTGCAAAAATCAGGTGGAAGATGCTAGTGATCTGCTAAGATCCACGACCACGATGTGCCAGTTGTTGAGCCCCAGTGAAGGTCCTGTAGATACGACATAATATTACTATGATACCAGTGGTATGGCACTCCAAGAAACCAACATAACATCATTCTCAATTCATTGACAAAAAGTGATGAAACTTGGTAGAGTGTTATTGCTATACGAGGTATGCAGTCTGGTGATGTATACGATTTACCAAAGGATTTACCAGAGGACTCTGATACTAAGTCCAGAATTGAGGAAAAAATTAAAGAAAATCAAATGAGTCTATTTATTGAGCTCCTGAAGAAAATTGGACTGAATCGTGTAGCTACAGGATTAGAACATGAAGAAAAATACATGGTGACTGATTGGATATAAACGCAATGTTCTGTATTACAATGGACTGTTTATGCAAACCATAAATCGTAGGGTATTAGTATTAATTAAGATATAATAATAATAT